TGATAGGATCAGTCCCTTTGTCGAACAAAGGTAATGATCGGGGGTGCACTCTCTCTGATGGAAACCAAGACTGTCGGCAGCCGATTTCAATCGTTGAAATTTGTTTTGCAAAATATATTTTATATGAGATATAAAAGTATATATATTACAGTTTCTAAACGTTTGCAAAATGTTTTAATTCTCGGGATCCATGTGAGTAGAGAGTACAATACTGTTCCTTGCAGCCGAGGGAGATGTCATCTCTTGTCGGGCAGTGTATGATCATTATGGGCTGAGAAGTTAAGTGTAAGACCATTAAGAATAATACCTGATGAGTTAATCTTGCATCTGCCCACAATCCCTAGGTGTTACAAGGTGGCTTGGCATAGGAACCACTTAGGGTAAGTGTTGGGCCCATAGAGCTCATGTGATGGGTTTCAAGGGGTGCACTGCCCATAATAGTGTATTCGGCCAGGCCTTATAACAAAGGCTGGGTTGAACCGTTGTGGCTAATGTGTACATCAATGTTTGGGTCTCACGCCCAACAAGAAAGCCTAACTGGACAGCAGTTTGGAAGGCTAAGTGAGCGCATAACCTTATTGCGCCTAAAGCCCATTTTGAACTGGGCTGATTTGATCAGTTAAATAAGGGGCGAATTCTGAGATTGGATTAGCAGATAGGATTGGGYCTTAACCCTATMCACTCARAGAGTCCAGATCTAAATGTGATTCAGATCTAGAAACCTCCTAATGAGATTATGAGATTGTTGATCCAATCTACAGATAAGATAATGGTTAACCCTTATCACTTAAAGGGAATTATGATCCAAATATGATTTGGATCAGCAACTCCTAATAGGATTAGGAGCAAGTCCCTTTAAGGTTATAAAAATGGAGGAGGGGGCGGCAGCCTTTTGACACACTTCACATCCTATCTTCAGAGTTGAAATTATAAAAGAGAGAATTCAGCTTCACTGCGCTAAATCTCTCTTGTTGCCTCCTTCCTGCTGCCGCCATATCTGCTAGTTCGATCTCCTGTTCTCAGTGGGAGTGATCAAGATCAGATCTTGATATCAGTTTCTTGTGAAGGGATTGATAGGAAGTTGTGCTCACGTGCCGTCTTGTTGATTATTGCGAATGATCCGGTTTTTGGGAAGAACACTGTTGATTCTGCTCCATCCTGCACTATGCCATTTTCAGTGGGAGCAGTTTTTGGTTCCTTCATTGGGCGTGAACACCTCCATTGGGAGATACTATTTCTCCGTATCAGGATATCCCTTCCTACTGTTTTTGTTCAGATCTGGTTCGGTTCTTGGTTCAAGATTGATCATGGAAAAATATGACTTTTCTAAGATAGGGAATACGATTCTTAGTAGGATGGAGAGAAATTTTTGAAATTCGCCCATTCTATTCAGCAAGATTCGGGCGTTCATATGATGGATATCTCATCCCTTCACCAACAAGATCAAGTTGTAACCTTGAAAAGATTTCCGTTACATGCACGGCATTATGATTTCTTAAATTATGTGGTTTTTTGACAATCACCTCATAAGGTGCTTTATCATCCTCCTCCTCCTCCTCAAAGTTGCTTCTTCAACCTAGATTTACATATAGGGCTTGTTCGTTTCCTCTTATCTCGTATCTCTTAAAGTGTAATAATAAACTCTTTGTTTTCTAATGATACCCCCAAAAAGACAAACAAAAACTCTCATACATGGGGTCAAAATGTATATTTGATAATTTTCATAATTCAGAATTCAAAATTTAGAACAACATTCTCTGCAATCAAAGTTCAAAGGAAAGAAAAGTTCACCAATATCAATGTACCTCTTAATGTAATTATTGCACTTTTAGATGTTAGATTTCAGAGCAAACGAACAAGCCCCCAACCTTCCAACCTTCACTTCCCTAAGGCAATAATTGTCTTCTAAACAGCTCTCCTCACTGCCAACAATGGCGCCACCATCTATAATCTCCTATCCACCAATCTTATAATCAACATCTGAACTAGTGAATCCATTCCCATCCTCTTTCAAAACCCCCTTTGATTTCCCCAGCCCCTAGGGGTATAAATGGATCGATTTTGAATCGGATTAGGCAATATTCGACTTCGAATTTGATTAGAAAATCCGATATCCGAATCTGATTCGATATCCGACAAATATTAAAAATTAATACCCGAATTCGAATCCGATTAAGTATTCAAATATTCGATTCGATTAATTAATTATTTTAGATAATTAACAAATATAGAAAATAAATATTTTATTGATATAAAGTATATAAATATATAAATTATTTATATAACTTAATTATTATATATTTTAATTATATAAAAAATTTTATATTATATAAGAATTAAATAATCGGTCGAATTCGGATATTTATCGAATCGAATTAGGTCATATTCGAATTCAAATCCAATTAACTATTTTGTATGAATAGGATATCCAAATTCGATAGATTAGATATTTGAGTTATCCAAATTCGATTCGATTATGTGAAATATTAAATTCGAAATCGAAATTTCGAATAAGATAAACACCCCTACCAACCCCTTAGGACCAACCTCCACGGTACCCAAAAAAGTTGGGATTTGGATTTCACAAACAAAATCTTCGGAAATCGCATCTGCAGTCCTGGTGTAGAAAGGGGAGCAAATCGCCAGAGGCACACTATCAACCTGTGAGCAGCAACTGACTCCACTATCTATGAAAGAGGCCCGATCATCAACGACCCTAACCCCTGTTCCTCCGACCAAATTCTTCTTGCCACGTTTATCATACCTGGCGATCACCCAAACCCAATTGTCCTCGGATCCCTTCTCTTTCCAGCCTCTGATGTCACAGACCTTCTAAACGCCCTGCATCTTTTAATTCTTCATCTGTTGGGGCCTAAGATTGACCTTCTTGTCCTTAACTATCAAAGCAGTCGGTAATCAAAACCTTAGCTTCATTCCAGCCTTCTTTTAGGCTTTGATGTCATCGAAAATTGACTGGATCGAACTATCCACGTTTTCCTTTTGAATCTTCTCTTAATAAATCTCCCCTTTTCAATATGAATGTTTTTGTTTTCATTTTGAGGGGGCGTTCTAAAATATGAATATTTTTATTTTTATTTGTTTTTGGAATTGTTACATCGGAAAAAGAACAAAAACATGTTTTTGAACTCACTTTTGTTTTCAAAGTAAAAAATAAGTTGAATTTGTTTTGAAAAACAATACATGTTTTTAGAACAAATAAAATACTGGTTTTTAAAATAAAAACAATTTTTTTAGTATAGAAAATGTTTTTGGTTTTAATTTTGAAAACAAAAAACATATATACAACCAAAAACATGTTTCTTGTGTTTTTATTTTAAGAAACAACCTATTTTTAAATAATATCATTTTGATCTTTCTTTTGAAACCGACAATATATTTTTAAATAATATCATTTTGATCTTTCTTTTGGAACCGACAATAAGAAAAACAATTCACATCGTAGAATGCCCCCTGAGTCAACCATGTGAACATGGTAAAGATGAATGTAATTTGAGTATTTTAGTGATATTGGCCCCAATGAGTAAGCTTGCATCTTTGTAGCTCTTGATTAATGGGATAATGTTTCTCAAAAAATGGTCGTATCTGAATTGGAGTTGACCTTTGAAAACGTTATTGGAGTGAAACCGATCAAATGAGGATGGGGTGTTTGACTAGGGTGCTGTAGGGTTTGTTTCAAATAGTGAAAATGACAAAAGGTTAACCATAGATTGGATACAATGGTGAAATGACAAAAGATTTCCAACCTCTCTTTATGCTTTTCTCATCTCTTTTCTTTAGGGGTGGATTCGAGTTGTGCCGAGTTAAATACTTACCTATTCGAGCTCAGTTCATTGAAACTGTGTTAGGTTCGAGTTTGAGCTTGAGCTTGATATAAGCTAGAGACTTGAGCTCGAGCTCAGTTCGATTTAAAGTTTGCAAGTTCGAGTTTGGCTTGGCTAGCTCGAGCTCGATTGCAAGCCAAGTTTTTTCTAAAAAATAAAAATTATATATATAAAAATATTTTTTTTTATTTTACATACAAAAAATTAAGAATTATAAAAATTATTTATTATTACACATAAAAATAAAAATGTATACATATAAAAAATGTTTTTATTTTACATACAAAAAATAAGAATAAATTTTTTTTTACTATTATACATAAAAAATAAAAATATTATATATAAATTATTATCATATATAATAAAAATTATTTATTATATATATTTATATGTGTATATATACATACATGTATATATGTATGTATATAATAAAAAAAATTATTTATTCATTGTAATAGGCTCGCGAGCCTCATGAGCCAAGCTTCACTGGGCTTGAGCTTGGCTCGAAGCTTGGTTTAAATCGAGTTGAGCCAAGCTTTTCATGAGCCAAACTCGAATAGCTCATGAGAAGCTCAGCTCATGGTCACCATGTACCTATGGGTTTTAAGGGTAACAGAGTCCAGACTTAACGGGCATTGGGCTCCAAAGCCTTTCAATTTATTTTAATATTTTTAGTAATTAGTTATTGATATTTTTCAAAATATCAATTTACAAATAATTATTGATATTTTTGGTAATTTTGTTTTTCTAAAACTTAATTATTTAAAAACGTTGAAAATTAATTATTCTAGTCAGTAATTACTAAAAAATAATTAAAATTATTTAATTCGTATTGATAAATTGCTGAATTGTTGTATGCTTTTCAATATATTTACTGAAAGGTAATAATTTAAAATTTTCAGTTTATATATTTATTAAAAGTTTTCAGTAATATGAATTAATTTTAATATTTATTAAAATATTAATTTACAAACATTAATTGATATTTTCAGTAATTTCAAAGGTTTGAAATTTAATTATTGAAAATGTTGAAAAGTAATTATTCGAATGGGTAATTACCATGCTTTTTTTTTCTGAAAAAATAGTAATACCATTTCAGATACATTTTTTTTGTCATCAAATTGGATATTAGATTTTATGCAACGCGTGTGTTATGTTCTTCGTGCGAACGTGGGCAATTACGTTATTTCGCGGTTTAAACACTTTGGAGGTTGACTGGTTGAGAAAATGCCCTAGATCGACCGTTTCCGTTTTTGGGCTCTCCTTCTACAACGGCACTCTCCCTCTGCTCACTCTCAGACTCTCTTCTCACAGGCGCAAGTTCCAGGTAATCCTAGTTTATTTCTTCTTCATTTTATCCTACAAACCGAGTTTGTTTTTGGGCTTTCCTCACTCTCTTCTCATGATTCAGATCTGTTCTTCTTCGTTCTGCCGCTTCCAAGGTCGCAGAAGCAACGATCCACAGGTATACTTTGAATTACCCATTCTTTCTGAATTTCCATCTATTGCTCTTGATTTTAGAGGTTGAGGGATTTGGGAAAGCCTCAGATTTTTTGATCGAATGATCGGCCGTTGCGGGTTGAGAATTAAACCCTAGATGTGATGTTGTTTTTGGACTAACTTGATATGTGTCCTGTTCCTTTCTAAGCTGCCTTAATATTTTGAAAGTGTAGTAAGGATCCGATTGTAGCTAGCACATCTGTCTATTTAAAAAGAACTTTGCTTCGTATAGTTTGTTAACACCCAACGGTGTTATCAAATTTGATGTAACAGCAGTTTTTCTGAAGTCATATATAAGATTCCGTCATTTTTCTGATATTTACATCCACAAAACGTATCATGTTGCCAATCTATTCGGCTTGATTCTCTACTTTTTAGTTAAAACCTGTAATATAGGCATGGCTTAAGTTAAAAAAGCTTGGTTGTATTGATGAGGCATCAACCCAAAACCTTGTCCACTGAAAATTATGGGTCTTCAAAAGATTAGAACTTTGAGGAGGCACATGTGGTGACTCTGTTACTTTTTTGATATTATATTCCAAAAAGAGTATCTTATCACTGGTTTGTCCTCCCTGGTTGTGTAATTTAAATCTGTAACATAGGTTATAGACATTTGGTGCAATATTTTGAAGTAGACTTATATTTATGAGGTTTTATATATTTCTCATTTGGAGAATTAATATGAGGAAACAGGGTGCATGCCAAATGTTATTCTGATTCTAAGAAATAGGAAACAGATGAATGTAACCTGCAAAATTCTCTGGATGAGAATTTCTAGAACCCATTCTTTTTTGAAAGGATTCTGAAGATCAGAATTTTCTGGTGTGATGCCAAATAGGGCCTTAATTTCTGTATCATGCCCGTGGCAGAGTATTCTGTGTTGTAAAAAACTAAGACCTATAACCTCCATCTCCCTCTAAAACTAGCTTTCGATTAATGCATGTAGAGTTCAGTTTCTTGAAACTTTTCACTTTGTGCCCATTTCCTCTTGGAAGTTCTATTGGTTTGTTTCTCAAAATTTCCCTTTCTTTTGTTGCAGAAATTAGGTTGCAATGGACAACGAGTTTCAAATCTACAACACAATGACCAAGCAAAAAGAAGTCTTCAAGCCCAAAGAGCCTGGAAAGGTGGGCATGTATGTCTGTGGTGTTACCTCTTATGATTTCAGCCACATTGGCCATGCCCGGGCTTACGTTGCTTTCGATGTTCTCTATAGGTGAAATTATGTTCATCCTTTTACTCGCTTTTTTATTTATCTTCCTAGTTTAGCCTTGTGGCTTCTATAGTTGCCAATTGTCTTTTGATTTGCAATAATTTGTAGACTATGCTGTTTTCTGTAGGACAAAGAGGGAAAGAGAAATGCTACTTTTGTACAAGTGTTTTTTCTATGATGATTAGGGAATTTTTTTTCGTTTGTTCTTGTTAGCTGTTATTACCTATAGAGTTGAGATTTAAATGATGAATAGTTGGCATGTTAGAAAGATAATAAGTTTCTTCTTATAGGACTCACACTTATGGAACTATTATTAAGATTTAAGAGAACCCTCCTTGGTGTCTGCTGGTTTTGCTTTTTCAAGTGGAATTGGATTTTGCCCCCAGCCCCCTCTCTAATGTTTACTCAATAAAATCTTGTAGAGACATCTATAAGCACAAAAAAGGTGATACAACTTTTGTTAATGCCATAAATGTGAAGAACTCTAGGCACAACCTCATGGTGATTATGCTGTTAATTAACCAAGTTATATCTAGTAGCCTATTTTTTTTGCTACTTGCCCTTTTAATACCTGTCACATTTTGCTTCATCAAGGAAGCAGAAGAAAGGACAGACTGTGTTGAAATATTGACTACAATGCACTGTGGAAAAAATATTTTGTTAGAAAAGAAAATAATTATCACTGAATGTCAATACAATTAGTTGATTAAGAGTGATCCTCTATGATACTATAGCTGTGCTATGGCAGCTTTGTTGAAAGCTATGCTTTTAGATTCTTATACTTTCCATCCTACTGATAACTATGTCCAGTTTTTATATAGTATTTACAAACTCTTTATGTTTTTCATAGGCATTTTTTATTAGGAATGTCCATATTAAGTTCTTTCATTGAAGCTGTTGCTTGTTGTCTATCTAACTGGTTATAAGATTATTAAATCTTAATAATTTAAAAGGGGAGTGTTTTACCATCTGGTGGAAAGATGTACGTTATTTCGCTAGTATTGTTGTTAACTCACTTCATTAAACAATCATTTTATACTATCTATTGAGTAAGGCATAGTGCCTCTTGACTAGTGTTTTGAAAATTCATTATATCAACTGAAAATAATTGCTGGCTTATCTATCAAAAAAAACAAAAAGAATTGTTAGCTCTAACATCTCCCAAGAAAAATAAAAAGATCGTTGAGTGAATCCTAAGTATAAGAGACTCTAATTTGTGGATCTTAATCTGGTTTTTCTTTCTTGATATGGGCAGATACCTACGACACTTGGGATATGAAGTGACCTATGTACGCAACTTCACCGATGTTGATGACAAGGTTTGTATGTTGATGTAGACTGTTAGGTGTTAGCTTTCTTAGTATATTAAATGATCCTACTTAGGTAAACACAATGCATACAAATATATATGTGTGTTTGATAGCACATACACACATATACAGTTTAGTAAATGCTTGAAAACATAATAATTGATTTCCAGATGTTTTAGGAATGGAAGAACTTTCTTGATTTTCAGTCTTCTTGAAACATTCATTTTTTGTTATTAACTTCTTTTAGTAAATAATGTGTGTTTGTTTGGTATAGGAGTATTTAGGAACAACCATGGAGCAATAATAGCCATCTTCTCTGGACCAATAGGAACTTGGAGGGCTGAATTATTATCCGTCCTACAAGGCCTAAGACTGAGCAGCTAGCTTGTTTTCAAAAATATAATGGAGGAAGGAGACTCCAGGATAGTGGTGGGTTGACTAAAGATTACTAGCCAATAGAGCTGTTCACGGGCCGGGCTTCAGGTCTGACTTTACACTACGTCAAGCTCAGGCTTCAGGCAGGTCCATTCAAATTTTGGCAAAAGCCAAGCCCGAGCCCGGCCCATGAACAGGTCTACTATATCCAAGTTTTGTGGCATAATAGATACATTATGAGGGTAACCAAAGTGCCAAACAGATGATAAGAGAGGTTGGGACTAGTTTTAAATGGGTTTACAGATCAACTAAACAGCTTGGCTGATGCATTGGTCAAGGAAGGGGTGAACAGAGAACAAATGTTCTGGGGGGTAAACCTGGAATGAGGATTGGTTTTTTGTTGATGGGAATTACGTAGCAGCTGCTAGTCTAACAACAAAAGATTTCCTACTCGTGATTGCTTGTACATATACTACTCTTTTCATTAATCAAGAAAAATTACAGAGTTAAAAAAGGTCTGTATTTTAGTAAACAATCAAGAGATAGTGGCTCGTAAGTCTTTGTTCTTTCTTCATCCTTGCTAAAATTTTTACTAAAGTATGCTTAATATTTCAACTATTGGTTGTTGCCTTGGACATGTAATTTTTTTGATGCTTGTTCTCTATGGCGAGTAACAATGTTTTGACCTTAAACAGATAATCCGCAGAGCAAATGAACTTGGCGAAGATCCATTACATTTAAGTAGTCGGTTTTGTGATGAGTTTCTTGTTGATATGAATGATCTTCAGTGTGAACCTCCTACTCATCAGCCTCGTGTTTCTGATCATATGGATCAGATCAGAGATTTGATTTCTAAGGTGCTTCTTTACTCTTTAGTTTTTATTTGAATATTTATTAAGCAGCTACAGATGAAAATACACTATCACTGTATCTATCTATACATGTATACAAGCACACAGAGCTATTGAGGATGGTAACTATGAGCTCGTTATTGCATATGATGTCTTTTACAAAAATTTCAATATCAAGTTGTTTTGATCTCTTGTTTTACACCATTTTCGAGTTATGGTTAAGGAAAATACCACGTAATGAAATCATCTTATTTAGTGGTAGGTTTCAAAGTTTTTTTTTTTTTTTTTTTGAAATTTCCTTTGGAGGGGCTGGGAGGAGGATAATAAGGTTCATCTAGTTAATTGGGACCAAGTCTGTCTCCCTAAAGCTGAAGGTGGGATAGGAATAAGGAAATTGAAGAATTTCAATACCGCTCTTTTGTGCAAATGGATTTGGAGATTCTCGGCTGAGAGAAATGCTTGGCTTTTTGGAGATCTCTCATTGCTGAAAAATATGGGGTTGATTGGGGAAACTGGAGAACTAGAGATCCCCCTCCTAATTGGGGCAATTCTCTGTGGAAAGGTATTATGAGGAACTTTCCTGTTTTCGGGGAAGGGATTTCTGTGATTGTGGGTAAAGGTGATAGAACTAAATTCTGGAAAGATAATTGGTATTTGGAAAGCCCCCTTGCAGGTTCCTTCCCTCAACTTTTTAGATGTGTAGTTAATCAGGAGGCTACTGTGGCTGGTTACTTATCTTTGATTGAGAATTCAGTTACTTGGTCTCCTCTTTTAAGGAGAAATTTATTTGATTGGGAGCTGGAAGAATTCTTGGAGCTGATGTCACTTATGCTTAATCAGAAGATTGATGTGCTTGGGGAGGATAGGTGGTTCTGGAAATGGAAGCCGGATGGGGCTTTTTCTGTGAAGTCCATGGCTGATAAATTATGTAGCGTGGGGCTTTCTGAGTTCCCAGCTGGGCAGATCTGGAATCCTTTGAGTCCTTCAAAATCCAACTTTCTGGTTTGGACGATGGCACTTGACAAATGTCTCTCCAGGTCTAATTTGTTGAGAAGAGGTATTCCAATTCTGGATTCAAATTGTGTTCTATGCGGGACTGCTGCAGAAACTACAGAGCATTTATGTCTTCATTGTCCGTTTTCCTCTCAGATTTGGATGCATTTTCTTAAAGCTTTGGGTGCTAAGTGGGTCTTGCTGAAATCAGTAAAGGATCACCTTTGTTGCTGGAAGTTGAAGGGCCTAAGCAAGAGAGGGAAGCTAATGTGGAAGACAATCCCAGCTGCTGTCCTGTGGTCCATTTGGGCTGAAAGGAATAGTAGAATCTTCTGTAATAGGTCTAAGGGTCTTGATGATGTAATTCAGAGAGCTGTGGGCAAGTTGATCTCTTGGATTTCCATTTCTGGGGAACTCAGAGATCTTAGCATGCCTAAGGGTCTAAGGGTCTTGATGATGT